GATAGTTGATAAGCTCCCCTTTTACGATGTTTGTATTGTTTTAATATTGTTAGGCGTTGTAGATGACAAGATGTCTGTCTTGCTTTATGACACCTCGGGAGCTCAAGATGTTTGCATCAACGAGTTTCTTGTCCTGAATGGTTTCTGTCAATCAGCTGGATTAGGGTAGGCGTGTTTAAAGAATTGCTCTCTTGTTAGGCTATATTTTCTAGATCTTATGTGAGGACATTGTGGAGTGGTTAGGATCACAGGTTCACTTACCCGGCCCAAACTTTTTTCAAGACTTCGGGTTACCTTTTTCGGCAGGTTTTGGCCAAATTTGTAAAATTTCGGAAGACTTCGGAAACTGTCGGAAGCTTTCAAGGACTCTAAAATCATGTTCAGAGGTCGCTGGAAAACTATAGCGGGTCGATTCAGTCCCCAGCCTGCCTACACGTATCCTGATAGTTTTCAAAACGAAGGTTTTTGGTCCGTTTTCAAGAAAAGAAAAGAAAGAAAGAAAGAAAAATACGCGTCCACACGTAACGTATTTGAATGGTTTTAGTTCGTCCACATGAAAACGCTAAGACGATGGAAATACGATGGCTTCCCTTACAGGGCATGCGTAATGCTAGTAGGTTCTCTCATGATGTATGACATCATCTTATTCGAAAACTTCCGTACACGTAAACGAGAAGCCGGTATTTTCAGAAATCTCAGCTTTGGGGACTATTTTGAAAAACCTGCGTTCTTAGTGCCCGAAAACGCCGTTTACTTGGACGGTAGGTTAAAACAGCGAAAAAATCTACGTTTTCAGTAATAGTATCCGGATACTTATGGACGGGAACTCAGGTTATCCCTCGTGGTGACATCAGTAGGAGAATGAATTGGTTCCTTCATAGAGTACAGTTTGGGATTAATGCTGCCTAATAGACTGTACCCATATTCCTGTGTACAAAGGCAGTTACTCGAGGCTTGGGGTTGACAGAACATAACTGTACTCCACCCAAGCTTTGACCTCGTTTTATTGTGTGCACTCACTGGAGCCCACAGAATGAAACCACACGACTTTTTCGTCAATCAGAACGTTTCTGTTATGGCATAAGTTTTAATGAGCAAACCAAGCTGTCGGAGTTTTGTTGTTTGGTATTTTCATGTCGAGACTTTTTTCTGATTACGTGGAGAGGTAATGTTTACGTTTCAGTCATGTAAAAGAAATGAAAGATAAAACCGAGAGGACAGCAAAAGAAAAAGGTGAATTGAAAAGGAAAAACAGCATGCCTTGCAGGATACTAGCATGCTCATTCAAGCGTTCTTGCAGCATTGTTAAAAGCCGTGAAGAGCTTGCGGCAGAAAAAGAAAATACAGAGAAGACTTCAGAAACAAATAGCCAGGAAGGAAGTGTAACTGCTGGCAGTGAAAATCAAGGCGACCAAGCAAGTCAGTGTAGTTCATACACAGAGGAGGAGAAAGCAGTGCCTGAAGAGAAAACGGTTTTGAAAGACGCCAGTCCTGTTGTTTTTGAAGA